ATGAGATAAAAGTATGCCATCTTTGTCTAGGGGCAACGTTGCTTTCTAATGCGCATGCTCCAATTTGACCAATGAGCATCAATTTTGAGCAGCTGATATTGCAGGGTTGCCAATAATAAGCGTATAAACTACGTAATTTGCTTGTATTGGAACTGAACAAATATCACTGTCATAAATTAAAGGCAAAAATGTGATCCTGCTTGACACCACAGAATTTATTTATAATTAATAATTGCCTGCTTGAGGGTAATGCCTTCAAGCCTTGCCACATTGGGGTTTCAACTTCGACGAACAACACAGCCTCTCACTTGACTATCACTGTAGTTCTAGTAGATAAAAAGATATACTTATCGAAATACCCTATAAAAAATTACAAATTTGCGACTTTTACAATTAGGCCAAGCAACATAGGGTTTGTAGGCGAAATAATTCTCGGAAAGCTGGAAATGGTATTAATCTCTTTATTTGCATGTAAAAAGGGGTTTTTAAAGTTTGCACCAATTTTCCGCTTGTGCTACATACGGGGTGTCCCAAAAACCTCCATTTTTTTGTATTTTTTCAGTTTTTCACTGATTACTCCGAAATGGTGCATTTCTATGAAAATTTTACTCTTTTATAAATGGAAGTACGTGAAATTCTACGTCGAATGGACACCACATAGTTATATTTGGGTCAAGTGGTATGGACGCTATTAAGGTTCAAAAAACAGCCATGTTAAAAATAAAGCGCCATTGTGATGTAAATGTGTAATTGAGACGTAAAAAATTGAGTTTAAGTACAAATGGCATTGATGTAATAGTCTGGGAGTTAACGACATATTTCATTGTACTATTTCCGCAAGCTTCATTCTTTTTGTATGTGTTATGCGTGTAGTAAATGATAGTATCATGAACGTCTGCCGGCGCACCAACACGACAGGGGGTTACAGGAGGGTTACAATTACAGCAAAAAATTAACGAAAAAAACTTATAGCCGCATAAGCAAAACTTATTATACGTATTAGTAGAAACATAGAAAGCTCAGAAAATATGGTCTGCCACCTAAATTCCACAACAAAAGTCGTCTGCCACTCACAAAAGTAAAAAAATTAAGAAAAATTATACCGGCAAGGCTGAAATTATTTATTTTTACAGTGAGTTTGACAAGTGTCAAAAAGAGAAAATAAATATTCCAAGTGAAAATTTTCATTTCCATTTTGAGTGTACGCGATGAAGCCTTCTATAATATCATTAAGAACTCTAGAACATCAGACTTGACCTTTTCACAATTTATTTTGGTTAGCCTTACAAAAAAAAATTAAATAAATAGGAATAAGAGAAAAATGCAGCTTCCTAGCGGTGGTGCTCGGGCACTGCATGCCGAACCCAACTTCATAGGCTTGGCAGACGATCTTCGTTGTATCTTATTCGTGGCAGACTATTATGTTTGTGTTTGTTTCCATAAAAAGAAGTATTTTAATTAATTTCAGCCTTGCGAGTATATTTTTTTTTTAATTTTTTTTTTGCGCTTACTTATGTGGGTGGCAGACGACTTTTGTTGTGGAATATAGGTGGCAGACCATATTTTCTGAGCTTTCTATGTTTCTACCAATACGTACAATAAGTTTCGCTTATGCGGCTTTAAGTTTTTTTCTTTCATTTTTTGCTGTAATTGTAACCCTCCTGTAACCCCCTGTCGTGTTGGTGCGCCGGCAGACGTTCATGATACTATCATTTACTACACGCATAACACATACAAAAAGAATGAAGCTTGCGGAAATGGTACAATGAAATATGTCGTTAACTTCCGGACTATAAGTTTAAATATGTAGATAATTCAATCCTGCTATTGCTCTTTAGAGAAAAGTTTGTGAGTACTGCTTCATGATCTGAAAACCCTGAACTTAAGACAGTACAGTCAACAAAGCTTGGATCAAAAGATGACACGACGTAGTCGATAGTGCTAGATCTGGTTTTAGTTATTCGGGTTGGAGATTGAACATGCATGACCATACCAAAAGAGTCAAGTATAGACTGGAGAGAATTTTGAGCAGCACACACACTGGAAAAATCTATGTTAAAGTCGCCACATAAAATTAATTTACTCTTAAGAGGGAAAGACTCAAGCAAGCTTAGTAAGTTTTGAAAAAATGTAACCAAGTCAGCGTCAGGTATTCTGTAAATACAAACAATGTAGAGGTCGTAGATATTGTTGTAGACTATAGAAAATTCGAATAATTTTTCAGATAATAAATTGTCGAACTTGGTTATCGCCGAAAAGTTGTTATTAGTGGACATTATTACAGTACCTCCATGAGATAGTATACTTCTAGTATACCTAGATACTGTAGTGTAGTTTTTGACAAACACAGGTTCGTCAATATTGAGCCAATGCTCTGTTATGGCAATAATTTCTGGAAAATGTAGGTGTTCTAATAATAAATATAATTCATCGGTTTTGTGTCTAATGGACTGAATATTGATGAGAAATACACTAAGCTTGCTATCGTTAATTGTTTCAGAGGGTGCTTGTTCCTCTATTCGCGTCAAGGTATCTAAAAATTTTTGTTATTTGGAGAACCACCAGAAAAGTACTTAGAATGACTCTCCCTAATTTTTTGAAGCTGTTGGATTTTTTCCGAAGAGAAAAACGATCTGAAGGCAGAAAGATCCGCTTCAACTTCAGCCGAATCGATGCCATAGGCGCTGTGGAAACGATAATACAGCTTGCGTAAGGAATCCACGTCACTCGGTAGGCCCTCTGATGCTAACGCTAATTTAATGCTGGTGTTGGTGTAACCTTCAAAACACACATTGGGGGGCTGGTCGTGGAGATAGGCTAGGTAAAGCCTAAGAGTTTTTAAGATGGAAGGGTCTCTCAATCTAGCCAGTAGATAGCGTCCATTTGCTATATCGGAGTTTCGCGATATTCGCACTATAGGTGGGGTCATCGGGTCAAAGTTGAGCATTGTGTCGTTATTCACATTTGACTCTACAATAATATCAGCGTTACTTTGGTGAATATGAGACTTACATGCAGCAATGGCCTCTCTATCGGATCCAATCTTGATTGATTTATTCTCTGTAGGCTTTTTCTTGGAATTGCAGTCTGGAGGAAGGCTTCGGGTCGCTGCAGTGGTTAGGTCGATTTGTTGAAGACTTGTTGTAGAAATAGTATGTACAGGTGATGTTAAATTTGAGGGTGCTAAAGATGACAAGGCAGTGTTTATTGAACTACCGGGCGGCCACATACTTATGTCCTTCAACTGTTCAAAATGTTTCTTGCTTTTCACGCCAATTTTGAATTCGGAAAGTAAACTGTCATCATTTTTCAGCATGGAGAAACAACGGATAAAGTCTGTTGTTCCAAGTTTTTCCTTAACATAGTGAGCAATTTGGTTTGAAGTGTAAGAGACGGGAATTTTAGACAGAATCAAGTAATGCCAATCTTCTTTTTTAATGGTCTTATAAGTTATGGGTGTTTTAACTTCAACTGGAGTAGCCACTTTCTTATGATGCGTGTCAGTTTGTGTCGAATTTGACTTATTTGTCCCTAGCTGAGAGGTCTTGATGTTGGGTTTATCTTTAGCAGCTAATTTTTCCATCATAAGTGACATCTGATCAATATTTTTACGCAAATCACCTATTTCCTTTATTAATTCATTCTTTGATGTATCATGTACCTGGATCTTAATAGATTCATCATGATTGTCCATGAAAACAGATGACAAATTAAAAATATCTTGTTTCATTTCTCTTATAGATTTGAATAGAGATTCTTGTCCATTGTCCGAGATTTTGGTTTGGTGGCTGTGAATGTCGTCTATTTTTTGGTTCAGTTGCTTCCATACGGAGTCGTGACTACTCAAAATGTCGTAAATTTCTGTAATGACAGGAAGAAGGTCATTGTTTTTTTTTAAACAGGCTCCAAGAGCTTCGACATTTTCCATAGAAATCTGGGAATTATGTAGATGTGTCACTTTATCATGCAGGTATTTCAATGTAGGGGAATCACAAACACTGCAGAAGAATCTAATGTTGTGGTACTTCTGTTGGTAGAGGACTTTTGTAGTTGTTTTGTCCAAGCCAGTGCAGTTCATGCAGAAATACCGGCGACACTCACCACTACAGCGAAGTTTGTATTTGTCTTTCTCAGAAACGGCTTTTTGGCAGGAATCGCATTTGAAATCGGCCATTATAATAAGTTTAAATAACTTTAAAGAACTGGATCAATAACAAGGTAACTAGGTCAAGTTTATAAAATACACGCACAACGAAAACGAACACAACGATGTGTGCAAACAAAACAAATCAAGTCAAAACAAGCTATGTATTGCTGCAGGACGCTCCTCTACAATTATAGCATATTGGAGAACATTTCATTCCTTGTTTCCTACAACCACACGCATTTCGGCACCCCTTTGAACATTTGCAGGCAGTGTTATTAAGCAACTCCTGCGGGGCTTGTTCGGCTGTCGATGGTACTGGGAGCAGCCCATGCTTAGTTATCTTCCATCCCCATTGAACTGGATCCATATCATGACCATTCCACAAATTAACCTGTAGGAAGGCCCTCATTGAGTGCAGTCTAGCAGCTTCTTCAGTTGCAGGAAGAGTAGCCAGGTTGAAGTTATTTTGTACTAAGGATTTGGTGAACAGTTTAAAGCGTATTTCATTCAGAGAGGAAGATCGGAGAAGCGATCCGGCATACAAAGCCGCAATAACTTGTTCGCCCGCAGCACCAATCTCATCTGCAGTCGCATTACTATTTTGGAATATCTCGACAGCTTTTTGTATCTCCGCATCTTTGTCGAGGAGCTTCACAAGCTTCATCTTCCCCTGTCTGAAAATGGCTGATGTTGAATCGCAGTCGCTAAAAGCGTGAAGAAATAAAATATTTCCTTTAACTTTGTTCGACATTTTGAAATGTGTCGGGGAATAAAAAACGGTCTCTAACTTTCCTTTCCCAGGCTTCATTAAAAATAACGAATCGCTATTAGGAGCTAACGCAGTAATAATTACCAAAAGATCTATGTCTTCTCCTACCACAACCACACATTCAGAGTGTGTAGCATTTTCCATAGCTCGTCGGACAATGGTTATATCGGCATCCTCTGCAGCTTGTTCGACAGAGATATTTTCCTCTGAAAATTTCTTGATCAGCATTGAGATCATTCGTTTTTTGTTTCCTTCATTCGAAAGAAATTTATCTTTTGATATTGTCAATAACAAGGATTCGTCAAACTTAACATTTGCGGCCATGAACTTGTTTCTTCTGAGGCGTTCTGCAGATTTTGTGCTCTTTTCTCCAGGGTCGTCTGGATAGCCATCAAATACAATGATTGATCGTGACCCAAAGTATTTTTTGACATATTCCACGTATTTGTTAAGTATTGACGAGAATCTTTCCCTCAACTCCCACGGTACTCGGTGAAGTAGAAAGCCACCGTCGATCACATAAAGTGCACTTCCGATGTTTGACGGGGTTTCCACTGGATTAAACAAATCATAGAAAACGGATTTACGTGACTTCCTCATCATTCCTTGTTCATCAAATAAAGATGGTGGGTATGGAGCCAATTCATATGTAAAGTAGTTTTTGAGTTCGTATTCGGTTTTTTTATGAAATGAGATTCTCCTGAAAATGGTATATAGGTCAACTGGCACTACTTCGTCATGCAACTTGACACTGCTGGTGAAGCCACGCATTGGTAGCACTCTTTTCTTTCTGGAGAACTTCACTTGACCAAAATTGCTTCCAATAATGCTTTCGAGACTGGAACTTCCGATTTGGTCTGAAAGATGGCAATTTACGTTTTCATCTCCTATAACTCCGGTAGACAGTGACATTACGTACTCTCCTACTGGAAAGGGGTTGTGGCAAAGAAACCAGTCTACGAATTTCTTGCAGTCACTGTTATCTCTAGTAATTCTCGATAACCTTGCATCCACATGTTGTTCAGTAGTGCAGAATGAAACACCACAAAAGCTCTCTACCTGCTGGGATACCTCCATAATTGTAGGCATGGTCGCAACCCATTTAGCCAATGTGCTGTCCGTTATTCCTCTGCCGCGACTCAAACCTCCTGAACTTTTCATAGCTCTCATCAGGCTTTGCTCTATGGTCATATCAGACCATAGACCTGACCAGAATTTATCAGATCTTCTGATAGTGAAAAAGCCGTTTGTCACAAACATTTCATGATCCTTGGGAGTCAGACGGGATTTTAGTTTCAACATATCCTGAAGGTATAAATAACATGATTTCGCGTATAAAAAATGCCCACTGGCGTGAAAGTAGGGTAGCATTTCTCTTATGCTTTGAAGATGCAGGTACCAATCACCGGATCTTTCAGCTTGGACAAATTTCTTGACTATCGTTACCATTTTGAAATACTGCACCCACAGTCTAGCAGTTGCTCCTCTAGACTCCAACTCCTCAAGTTTGTTCGAAAACTTGTCAAGAATATTTTTAACTTCAGGAGTATCAATATCGGCAGATGCACTGTCACTCATTACATGACTCATAAGCTCTAAAAAAGCTAACTGTTCTTACTCTGCTATATCCAGCATGGACAATACAATATTACTCATTGCAAGGTGAGCCAAAATGTGTGCCCGTAGAGCTCGTGAGTAAGCGTGTCCTGTCATCATTTTGTTGGTTGATGTAGCTGCGTAAGCCTCGCTAAATAGCTCCTGTAACCCATTTCTGAATCAGGACCAAATGAAGAAGCTACAATATCTCTTGCCTTTATATAAAGGGGTTGGTCAAACGTTACGAAACATGAATCCTGTTTAAGTGATTTGCATTTATTTGCAGCATAAAGCAGTGCTGAGTAAACTGTATCATAGCTGGATGGCGGGGCATTGATGAATGGTAGGCACAATATGCCTGATTTTGAATAAGATCGGCCCTTAGTAACTTTTTCCATAAACCCATTCCAACCTGGAATGTCCTTACGTCCTTGCCATTTGCCATACGCCCATATAAAATCAGTGGGCAATAGCTTAATCTCGAAACTAGGCAATTTCTCGTCAAGGTCGAGTATGTCAATATCACAAAGGCCTGTCTTAGCTTTCCTTTGAAAAGCAACGATTGGCATTGCTCCGAATTCGCCCAAGGTTCCTGCATTAGGGATTTTTTTTACTCTCTCCATAATAGTTCCTTCAGATTTTGAAGGCTCAGGTGTAGTGCACTGGATGCCTCCCATTGCGTGAAAAGTATTGGTGCCATCTAATGTGTCAATGTTTACGTCAGCATTGTCAAAGACAAACTGTGTGAGCGATTCTGATGGTAACTATATCTTCATTTCGTTGTGTCAAGCATGAAATTTCATAATGTTGCACTTCATTGTATGTGCAACAAAATCCTGTCGCTGAAACAATCTCCAAGAGATCCCTTGAGCCATATTTTCGATGAATAAGCGCCCCTAGGCCAACTTGTAACGCTGATCGATAAGATTTCAGTCGCGTAGCTGCAATAATTGCGTGGGCGATGGATGTAATTTTGGTATTGACTTTGTCATTATCTTGACTCTTATTAGGGGCAATAATAGTTGATCTTAGGAGCAAGTCAAGCGATTCCGGTATGTCGTGTTCAACATTATCTAAAAAACTGTTAGGTGCAGGATAGGAGGTGAAGTTATATATTCTTGAACGAATGTCCTCACGGATTATGGCAGCAGCTGCTTTTACCACACGGAGTTTCTCTCCCTCTTTGTCAGCCAGTTTTGACTCGTACCATTTCTCAGTCAAGATCGTGTAGCCTGTGTTCTTGAAGCATATTATACTGGGACTGAATCTGTTCTTACCAATTGTAACTATAATGTCGTCTCCATAAACATTCTCGAGCCTTTTTTTCAGAATGAGGGTTGTTGGGATTGGTCCACTATAATCTTTGAGAATATCACTCAGTACAAACTGGCATTGGTCTTCATTTGCTTCAAGGTATCTGCATATGTAATCTACTGCAGCCGTCACTTCTTCATCCTCTGGGCGGCCTCGCTTTGTTCCTGATTGTACATATTCTCCGAAATAATTTTTACAGCATGATCCATGATACCTCCCTTCAGCTGCAATAAGATCAATCTCATTTTCAATTCGAAAAACTACAGCGTTACTCCATTCATCACTTTTCCTGGTTGTTTTAGCTGCATCAATAACCTTTTGCTTAAAATCCAGTTTAGTCACTTCATGAACTTTTTCGCGTCGTGATTGGTTTAATTTTTTTTGACGTTCTATAAATTGATCGGAGGCATCTTTTCCACAAAAGAGACAGTGTCCCTTGAAATCAAACAGCGGTTGATTCGATCTCCTAGAGGCGCTAGGTCTAGAAGACTGCTCAGCTAGTGCAGCATCAATGTAGGACTGCTTATTGTAGATTTTTCTGCATTTTTCATGAACAGTTACAGAGGTTTCATCCTTTAACAAAATGTGTTTCCCATCCTTTCTTTTTTTACTACTATCCATGAAAGTTAGAATACCTTTTTCTTTTACTGTTGTCACCTGTAACAATGACAATTTTATAAAAAAAATAAAAAGTAGCACACTATATTGTTCGAATATATATTTAAATTTGTCCAATATTGCGTATATTTAGACAATATTGGCCAGAATTTGATAATGTGCCATGTGAGATATAAATGAAAGTCAGTGCTATTGTACAAGTGAATCACTCACATGACATAGCAAGAATGCCGCATTAATAAATAATGGCCAAGTAGGCACGTCAAAAACTTCGAAGAGAGAAACACAATCAGCAGAGCGAAAATTAATCAGAGTTATTTTTACGCAATTTATAATTATTGTATTAATTGTAAATGTTCTAGGTAACTTTTTGAGTAAAAAAAAGGTATTTCATATTATTGATCTAGATTTGTGGAAGTTTTCATTTGTACCGTGTGGTCTTGAGCAAACACTAGCTTTGTTTGTTTATTTGCACCAGCCAGCACCAAACTAATCTTTCTACTTCAAACGAGTATGTTTATCTCTATATTTTTGTTAGGCTGACAGAGACAGACATTATTTTTCACTGATCAGGTGCAGCTTGGTGTAACTTTGATGCAGATAAACAAACAAAGCTACTAATTTTAAATAATATTCCAGTATTAGGATCGATAAACCGATGTTTTAAAAATAGAAATACAATGTTGAGACAGCTCACCTGTCCTTGTAAACTATCACCACAGATGAAACATTTTGAATCCTCCATCACTTTTCACAAAACGTCACTACAACGCACACTGGGCTAAGAAAATAAGTTAAACTGGAAAATATTCTCCTGGATGAAAAAACGGCGAAAAACAGTTTTTTACCGCAACGTTAAACGGCTACGACTCGGGTCGGGCGATGCTGCTGCTTCGCCGCGGCGTGTATAGATAGCAAGGGAAGGGGAAGAAAGATGCATCTTAAGCCGGGCCCAGACACTTCGCGATTATAGAGAACCGCGAAAATTTTGCGATTTATCTGGCGATGAGAAAAGTCAATTCCGACAATAGATGAAAGTACTCTCCCTGACACATCGCAAATATTCAGGAATACCCACCCATATTCATGATGTGTCTAGGGCCGGCATTACATATTTGTGATACCCACAGTATTCGGTGCAGTATAAACTCCGAACACATAATAATTTCATATAATACTTAACTTATCGGAAACAAGGTTTAAAAGTCCAAAATATGATTATTTCTTCAAAAATTGGAAAAATGTTTGTTTTTCAACATGCATATGGGCCATACCACTTGACTTAATTTTAATATGTTGTGCTTATTCGACGTAGAATTTTACGTACTTTAATTTATAAAAGAGTAAAATTTTCATAGAAATGCATAATTTCGGAGTAATCAGTAAAAAACTGAAAATAATACAAAAAATTTGAGGATTTCGGGACACCCCGTATGTAGCACAAGCGGAAAATTGGTGCAAACCTTAAAAACCCTTTTTTACATGCAAATAAAGAGATTAAAACGATTTCCAGATTTCCGAGAATTATTTCGCCTACACCCTCTTTTTCGGCCTATGTTTCCTGGCCTATGGGTTTTCACATAAATTCGTAATTGTTGTCAATGCAAAATTACTTTCAATTTTTACCAAGGCTTCTGGCATTTCTGCGATATCATCAAAGTTAATATGGTTTAGTATTCCTATTCCATCTGTTTTGTTTACAGGTACTTTAACCTTTTGTGAAACACGAGGAGGTATACCAGTTTCATATGACTGTGTGGGCTCCGTTGTGTTTTGTGGGAAAAATAATTTGTTTTGAAAATGCAAAGGTAAATTTACTTGTGACTTTTCGAGTGCAAAATTCTTTAGATTTATTTTGGCACCGATATCGATTACAAAATCGACACCTATCAAACCGTCGAATTTATTAGAGAAATTAAACAAGTGAAATTTGTGGTAAGCATTTTTTATTGTGCATGAAACTATTTGCCAAAAAGCAAAATTATGCAAAAAATATTTGGATAGTTTAATCCATTTAAATTTATAGGTCGAGTGGTATACGGCTAGATTATTTTCTGAATAATTAGGATTGAATTGCTGGCGTCAATCCTATCCAAAGAGTTCTATTTATTATAAAATGTCAGAAAATTTCTATCAAAATTCTGTCAAAAAAGGTAAACAAAAATTTAATCGCTGATAAACAAGGTCTAGTGAAATAATCACTTATTTAAACAAAATTCATTCAAAAAATGACGTTGTCTGATGGATCTATTTTATAATGAATGAAATAATCATTAGAAATGAATTGATAGCTGCACAGGGTATTTGAAAAAAAGGGTCATATTCTGCAAATTGTGATAAAAGCATGAAATTTTGTGGAGATGTTTTCACATTGATTTTAAGCGATTTCACCCGCAGCACAGTCTGGTAAGTCCCGTAGGATCCAAGATGGCGGCTTTTCTTTAGATAACTTAGAGAAAATATAGGCTTACGCGTTTTGATCCGATTTTAACGGTGTTGGTGTTATTTCTGAATAACTTATAGGTAACTTAGCAAATAAAAGTAGTATTTTGTTCAAAAAATGTACCCAAAAATAGTTATCCTCAGGAATAACGGGGAAAGTGCTTCTTTTTCGAATTTGACGTTTGACGGCGGAGGAGATTGCAAAGACGTGAAGCAGATCTACAGGGTGTTTCAGGAAGGGTGTTACAAACTTCAAGGGCAGATAGAATTCATCAAAATAATCAAAACAGTTCCTAGTTCCTATGGATATATAGGTCCGGAAACGCTTTGTTTCCAGATACAGGGTGATGCGTTTTTCAAAAAAAATAGTTTTCTATTAATATCCCAAAAAAGCTTTAGCCGATTTCAATGAAATTTTCACGATTTATTTCAACCATTACCAGAATTCTACTGGGCCAATAAGATTTGATCCAGAATTCCCAGGGGCGTACCTACCCCTCGACCAAGTCGGTTGTTTTTGTGCGATTTTCATTGATTATTCAGATAGACACACTAAAAATACAACATTTTTGTCTCTCAAATTTTTCAATTATCTCGCTTGGTTTTTGCGGAAAAATTACAATACCATACCTCGGCATGTCTGAACTCCATAAGAAAAAATAAAATTGCTTAGGAATTGATTAAAAAAGTATCGGAGTTTGTTGAAAAAAAAAAAAAAAAACTCAAATGGAATTTATGTCCTTGTCACTCAATGAATGGGTGATGTACCTTAATTCCTATGAATTTTTATCTTTCCTTATGGAGTCCAGAGACGTGCAGAGATATGGTATTGTAATTTTTCCGCGAAAACGAAGCGAGATAATTGAAAAATTTAAGAAACAAAAATGTTGTATTTTTAGTGTGTCTATCTTATAATTAATGAAAATCATACAAAAACTACAGAGTGATATTTTTTTCTGCACAAAAACAACCGACTTGGTCGAGGGGTACGCCCCTGGGAGTTCTGGATCAAATCTTATTGGCCCAGTAGAAGTCTGATAAAGGTTGAAATAAACCGTGAAACTTTCATTGAAATCGGCTAAAACTCTTTCGGGCTATTAATAAAAAACTTTTTTTTTTTTTTTTGAAAAACGTATCACCCTGTATCTTCGAAACAAAGCGTTTCCGTACCTAGATCCATAGGAACTTTTTAAATTATTTTCATGAATACTATCTGCCCTTGAAGTTTGTAACACCTTCTCTGAAACACCCTGTATGTCAGGCCGTCCAGGCCGAAGAAAGAAACAGTTCCAGTTGAAAACAACAACAAAAAATACCAGTGTGTGTTCTGAAAGTGATCACTTGCCGCAGGCTCGTAGTTTTTAATAAACAATAGTTATAAGAAAATTTTGAACTCTATATACAGGGTGTCCCAAAAAGATACCGACAAACTTTAAGGGGTAGTAGGGGATATCAAAACAAGCATTTTTGTTTATATAAACATATGCCCGGAAATGAGCCATTTGGGTTGTAGAGAAAAAAAACTGTTTGGTATCTAGTTTTATTCTTCGCAATAATTGAATCACTGTTTACTTATTAATTTTGCTTTAATAGCAAATAAATTATGGTTTACAATAATTGCTCAACTCGCGAACTCTTTGGAATATTCCGGGAATAGCTTCTACATGGGTACAACTCGTCAGTTTCCTTGCTATCAGATCTTCCTCATTACGAACAAGTGTTTCGTAGACTAAACTTTTCAGTCAATGACCCGACGGTGTAATCTTTGCATTGAAGTAAATGGTCAACATTTTAAACAATTATTGTAAACCATAATTTATTTGATAATAAAGCAAAATTAATAAGTAAACAGTGATTTAATTATTGCGAAGAATGAAAGTATCAAACAGTTTTTTTGCTCTATAGCCCAAATGGCTCATTTGCGGACATATGTTTATATAAACAAAAATGCTTGTTTTGATGTCCCCTACTACCTCTTAAAGTTTGTCGGTATCTTTTTGGGACACCCTGTACATATAAGCATCTACATAGTAAAAACTTAATTATACCTAACATTGGTTAAACTAAATCTAATTTTATTATTTTTTTAATACGAGAATAATTTTGATACGCCCCTGTTCCCCCACTATACGCATGATCATTGATTGCCACGAAGATGAAGCAAATAATGAGCGCCAATCACGCACATGTATGCGCAGGTGTTTTAACGGCTTTTGTTCGGGCAGTCGCACTAGTCGCAATCCAGACTCAGACTCATGTCGTCAGTGTGTGTGCGAGCGCGCGTATTTGTGGTTGTGAAAAAAAAAAGTAAAAGTTTTTTCGTGTAGAATAAGATATTATAAATATAAAAGCATATTACAAAATAGTGGAGTAACGACCATTTGCACCGCTATAACTTAAGGGATATTTAATCCTTTACTTGGAAGAAATATCCCTCAAGTTCTGAATGTGCCTCTTGTAGAAACAAAAGTCACATTCAAAGCTCCACGTAGAATAATATCCTTTAGGTGATAGCCGTGCAAATGGCCATAAGTGATAAACCTAATTTTTAATTGATCGTATTGTATGTGATCACTATAAATATCTACATATTTGGTTTAAGGTTGCATTAAACATGTCACAAAGAAAGTGGAGGTAGTTATGGCATTCAATTGTGACCTTAGCAATACTACTGTACGCCACTGACGAATATATTTAAAAAAATTGCAATATTTTAAGTGTGACATCGGTTTGGTATTTTTAATAATAAATTTTATAAACATTGTAAGTATTAAAATTTCAATAAAACATCCTAAAACCTAAACAGTTTATTTTTTTTAAATAAATAGTTTATATATTTTTTTTTGTCAAAAACTTATAAATAATTGTTCCATCCAAAAATAACACCACTAAAATCAGATAAAAAAAAGGGATTTTTTTAAACTTTAGAAGGGCCATATTGGAAAAGCCGCCATTTTGGTTCCTACAGGAAAAAATAAAGTGTGCTGTGGGTGGAATCTCTTAAAATAGCCAAAATAACACCCCCATAAAATTTCATGCTTTTATCACAATTTGCAGATGGATTTTAAATACCCATGGCGACTATGAGAGTAAACTTGATATGCTAATTGCGGATTGATGAAACTTTTTCCGCTGCCTGTGTCGACTAAGAATTTAGCATTTAATTCGGGGATAATTATTACAGGCAAATCTGAAGTACTATAATTGTTGAGGCATATTACGTCACATTGGGATAATTGGGCGTAATATGAAAATTTTGGTATTGGGAATCATCGATATTTGTTTCATTATAGTCATTATTGG